CGAACTTTAAAATATTTAACTAAAGGCCTAGGTAAATAGTATGAAATCGAATATAATGTAAAAGCACTCCCTACAGAGACGTCGGGGCCTGATTAATTTAATTGGACGGATAATTTGACGTGAAATGATTTAAAACAAATTTAGTATTAATTTACGTAGCTGATTGTTCAAATCAGCCCGCTCCCAAGACTTGGTTCTTTCACCCGCCAAAGACGGGGTTTAGAACTTAGACGACAAGTCTCGGGGTATTAAAACGTCGAATCGACTAGAATAAATTTAAGTAATAACTAATCGTTAAACGAACAGAATAAACGTAATTTCGTAGCAAATTAATTTGAACGAACCGAAAGATATCCACCGCTAGTCACTGGCAGGCAGGAACTGGCGGGTTTTATGCAAGTCGGCGAAAACTAAGTTAATAAAATTTAGAAAATTAAATCGAATTTAAACGGGTAAAAATGAGTGGCAGACGAGTATACGTATATTAAAAGAATAATAAAATGAACGTTAGAAAGTCTAACAACGAAGTTAGCTAACCTGAATCAATAACGTAGAATCGTATGGCGTGATCGTAATTTCGCAAGAGCTTCTCGTGAACAAGTCGACGGTTGAACAGCGAATAATCTTGTCCGGCTCAAATCATGATTTCCTCGGTCGAGGCTTAATCGCTCTGGTGGTGAGTTCGAGAACTAGCCAACAGCTGATCGGAAATTCACCTGTTGAGCCGGTCTAGTTGTCGTCTGTCGTTGGTCAACAAACACCATTTTGGGGTTATGTCGTCGTCGGCGTTAAATACCTGTAAAATCGGCCGGTTTAACTTTATTATGTGAAACGAAGTGCTATTATGAATGAATATGTAGTTGTGGATGTGTTTGTGTACTTCACTGTGAATAAAAACAGGCCTACGTTCTTTGGCCCATAGCCCAAGCTATGGCCAACACATAGGCCTAGGAGTAGGCTATTGTGGTTAAAAATTGGGTAAGTTCTGATGTTCATTTATTCGTAGTACGTTTTTACCCCCCTTAAAATTTGGCACCTTACACCCCTTACCAACTTCAGCAAAAAAAAGAAAAAAAAGATCTTAAACGTAGGGGTTCGGACGGGGTCGGAATGGTCTCGAAGAAGGGATGCCTGTAGAAGTCGTCGTTTAGTCGTAATCGTTCGGATCGTATCGTATCAACCAACGGGAGGGATATCACCAGCTCCGTCGGGGCGTGCGTCGGAGTTCGTTGCGTTGTTCGATCGGCTCTTCGGTTTCGAAGAATCTACGTCGTGTCGGGCGTCGTCCACGAGGCACGTCGGCCACCTCCGATGTGAGGTGACTCACCACGACAAGGCCCGATTGGCCGTCGTTCGTCGCGGTTAGCCTCGATGCGTCGTCTTTTCCGGTCTCGGCGAATTAGTACGTTGGAACGTTCACGAGGCACGTCGGCCACCTCCGATGTGAGGTGACTCACCGTGGCCAGGCCCGTTTGGCCCTCGTTTGCCACGGGTTGCCTCGGGAAAGCGTCCTTTACGATAAATTGCGTTACAGGATTTCTGGGATACCTCTGTTTGACAGGGGTTGCAATTGCCCTGAGCCACTGCGTCTGCTCAGTCAACGCCGACTACCCCTAATCGTTGTCAAACAGCGGTATTTCGCGTTCCAGAAATTCTGCAAATTTCGTGTTTGTTTTTCGTGTAATTTTGAAAATTTTGATTTCGTGGTTGATGTTTTTGACCGGAAAGGGCTGGAGACATCGTCGTTGTGGAGGTTTCGTACTACGGTGTGTACTCTGACTAGAGCGAGGTCAGCAGTACACCGAATGCCGAGTACCACCTCCAAACTTAGGCCCGGGACGTGGATATCCCGCGAATAAGGTTGGCCAGCAATCGTCGTCTACTCGGTATCGATCCGAAACACACGCTGCGTTGTCCGTTCGTTGGTTGACGTCAGTCTGGTCGGGTACGACGCCGCACGTCCGAAAGTGACGTACGATCTCCAATCAGACTGACTGACGAGTCGGTATCGACGAGGGCGCTGAACGTCTCACCTGAGATGACCACGTCGACGAAGGGTCGGCCATCTCTGGGGGTCGCGTTCGCGGCTGACGGTTCCCGTGAATTGCGTTGTTAAATGGAGCCAACGGCTCCACTCGGAGGTCGTACGGCGTCGGGTAAATCGTTGCGTCTATCGAACGTTACGCGATGATCGTGTTCCGTCGTTGGACCGAAGATCGTGATGCGCGACGGAATATCTTGCCTGGGCGATGGGATGTTGGCTGGCAGCTTTACCAACACTTCGAGGGTTCGTCGAACGGGTGAAGGATGTTCGGTGGGAGTCCCGAGTTTCTCTCGCGCGCTGGCCGTCTCCTTTTGCGTGGAAGGAGGTTCCAGCAACTGCGGTCGAATTCGGATATCATGGGCCGCATAAGCGGTAGTCCACGATATCGTAGTCACCGTCGGGTTCATCGGCTGACCGATGCTTCCCAACGGGTTTCTCAAAGACTCGCAAAAGCGTTTGCGAAGCTCGGCGACGCTACTCCCAGTTCCCAGCTGATACTTCGTCATCTCAGCTATTATTGTCTGCTCAAAGTGTGGATCCAACCGACGCGCGGGTCGTCTATCGGCGATCTCGGTAAGCTCTCCATCGTCGAAGGCATTATTTCGGAGATTTCGTCGTAGTTGTGGTCGTCGACGTTTGAATTTCCACCGTGTCTATCGTTACGTGGCTAATCGATAACGTATCGGGTCGAGTAATGGTCGTCGTAGTAGTCGAAGTCGTCGTAGTAGTCGAAGTCGTCGTAAATTTCGTTTATCTCGTAATTTCGTTTAAATGTCGAAGTCAAAACCGTGTTTTCGAGTCCCTGTTCGGGCGCCAGAGATGTGACGCAAAATTCTAGGGGGGGAATAAACTAGTATTCACCAAGTCAGGCTAGGCCTACCCCTAGAACCGGCCACACTCAAATTTCTTCCCCGGAGTGCTCAGAAGGAGCCGAGAAAAATCCAGGGGTCGATACGAAGGTGTCACGGCTTTGACTGATCAATTTATTTAAAATTTAATCGAAGGCTCAGTGCTCTAGAAGCGCTCAGGAAATCCTGCAGACGCTCAGTTGGAGCTATATCATCCCAGCCTAACGTAAAAGTGTTTTGGAGAATTTTGCCTAACTTTTAGAATGACTCTGTAGGACCTACGAGTATCCAATCTTAAGCCAATGTGATATAAATACTCGTAACGAACTTTAAAATATTTAACCAAAGGCCTAGGTAAATAGTATGAAATCGAATATAATGTAAAAGCACTCCCTACAGAGACGTCGGGGCCTGATTAATTTAATTGGACGGATAATTTGACGTGAAATGATTTAAAACAAATTTAGTATTAATTTACGTAGCTGATTGTTCAAATCAGCCCGCTCCCAAGACTTGGTTCTTTCACCCGCCAAAGACGGGGTTTAGAACTTAGACGACAAGTCTCGGGGTATTAAAACGTCGAATCGACTAGAATAAATTTAAGTAATAACTAATCGTTAAACGAACAGAATAAACGTAATTTCGTAGCAAATTAATTTGAACGAACCGAAAGATATCCACCGCTAGTCACTGGCAGGCAGGAACTGGCGGGTTTTATGCAAGTCGGCGAAAACTAAGTTAATAAAATTTAGAAAATTAAATCGAATTTAAACGGGTAAAAATGAGTGGCAGACGAGTATACGTATATTAAAAGAATAATAAAATGAACGTTAGAAAGTCTAACAACGAAGTTAGCTAACCTGAATCAATAACGTAGAATCGTATGGCGTGATCGTAATTTCGCAAGAGCTTCTCGTGAACAAGTCGACGGTTGAACAGCGAATAATCTTGTCCGGCTCAAATCATGATTTCCTCGGTCGAGGCTTAATCGCTCTGGTGGTGAGTTCGAGAACTAGCCAACAGCTGATCGGAAATTCACCTGTTGAGCCGGTCTAGTTGTCGTCTGTCGTTGGTCAACAAACACCATTTTGGGGTTATGTCGTCGTCGGCGTTAAATACCTGTAAAATCGGCCGGTTTAACTTTATTATGTGAAACGAAGTGCTATTATGAATGAATATGTAGTTGTGGATGTGTTTGTGTACTTCACTGTGAATAAAAACAGGCCTACGTTCTTTGGCCCATAGCCCAAGCTATGGCCAACACATAGGCCTAGGAGTAGGCTATTGTGGTTAAAAATTGGGTAAGTTCTGATGTTCATTTATTCGTAGTACGTTTTTACCCCCCTTAAAATTTGGCACCTTACAGTCTGTTGGGCCAGCTAGTAAATTATAAATTTCAACATTTTAAATAAAATTCCCCCCTAAAACCATCTCTTTAAATTCCCACCAAAAAATGCCTGTGGCGCGCTTGCACCACTGTCCTCCCCCCCTCTGGGCTCCCCTGCATGGGGTTGATCAAGATTTGGCTATGATCATGGAGGTTGACGTCTTAATTTTCATTACGGCAGGAGATAGTTAGGATTTTACCGCGTTTGTGGAAGACGATAATGTCACACACGGCCGTGATAATGATGTCCATACAGCCGTGAGATAGACTTGATTATTCCGCAATCGAATTGAATGGTGATTATATTTCCATGGCCAATAGAAATATTCAGGATTTAGTCACGATCACAGAAGATTATCATGATATTTTTGTGACCACAGGAGGTGTTCAGGATTTGCTGACATTGTGGAGGACCGCTACAGATGTCTTAGGCAGCGATGCAGTCCGCCATGAGCACCGCTCATTGTATATTGGGGGGATGGGGGTGCCTGATAACATCCTGCCCTGAGGACCAATAAACCATGCGATGTCCCTGTTGGACATGATTTAATTTGTATTCAACCTCCATGGTCCTCATCAGGCAATGAAATAAAATAAATATATACATTTTTTTTTAGATACAGTTGGTGGTAAATATTTTACAAATAAAACATTGTATTCCTTCAAATTAATCAGGATGACCAATAACAGCTGTATTGGTTCTAACTGAATTTATTTGCAGTGCTGTGTGGGATGATGATGACGGCATGTGATGTGAGTGCCATTGCTAAACCATGGGAGGTGCAGCACAAGGTAGCCAAACTGGTCGCTGATGAATTTTTTGATCAAGGAGACCTGGAGAAATTACAGCTTAACCAGCAGCCTGTGGTATGCATATAATGTGCATTATTACCTAAATGTCTTATTATTTCTGATAACACAGACTCTAGATATTTTATGAAATTATTGAAAAAAATACATCTCAACTGGGGCTTGATGAAGACCATGATTTACAAACAGCCCTCATATAAAAGAGGTTGTTTGTTAAAGCCTGTCACAAGATCAATTAATTGATAGATGGACTTGAGTGTTAATGGAATCAGTATTGAAATTGACCTCACATCAACAATATCTGTAGTTAGTATATCATACAGAAATGAGTCTGCTGATCACTTTTGCTATCGGCCTATATTGAACCCTAAATGGGTATCGCACGTACATTTGACGTAGGGCAAGTTATTTTTAGCGTCCCAATCCCTCAACCAACGCTGCCATAGACTACCAAACACAAGTTGACTTCCCATCCAATTGTAAATTTTGAAGCTCGTTTTTTGTGTCTAGTTCATGTCCGGTGACATTGGTGGCTATTGTCGACTAAATTTATTTTCTATTATTTTTTTGTTAATTTTGTGCTTTAGTTTGGTTTAGAGGGTGAGTTATAGTTTATAATTATATCGTTCTATTTGGCTAAATTAGGGTTTTAAATTATTCAAATAACAAGAAACAAATTGTAAACAAAACACGACCTATACAGTGCACCGGCCAGAACTAACAATAAAATTGGCTTCCCGCAGCTGTTCCATAAGGATGGAAAATCTACTAAGGGCGTATGTTTTATCTATGATGCTACCCTCCTTCCAGCAGTGCTCTCAGCAGTCATTTGCCTTGTGATGGCTGCCTTGGTTGGGTAGTAGTGTATTTCATTATGTCCTTGCTAGTTGGTTTCTTGGAACGCATACGTCAAACTTACGTGTCAGTACCCTTTGTGTATGGTAAAATGGCCGGCATTTTGTCAAATTTACGTATTGATACCCTTAGCTTCACACTGTATGACTATACCTTACTGTATGCTATTCCTATGTACGTCAAATTTACTTATTGATACCCTTAGCGTCATACTGTATGGCGATACCTTTTCTAGGGCTAAAAACAAAGAAGTAAAACTAGATCAAATTATCGTTGATTCAAGCTGCTACTAATGATTACGCAAATTCTGGAAGAAGTTGTTGTCTGATCCTGTAGGTCACATTACTTATTGGGACACCTCATATATTTTAAACATTGGAAATAAATTTGTAATACTTTTTTGAAATGCCCGTTAGCTGTTGATATCAGCATGTAACAAATTACCTACTAAAATAAATAGATAAGAACCAACATTTTTTATTTAATAGGGCTTATATTTTAAAAGTGTTTTTTTTTTTTTTTATTATTTAAGGTTTTGTTGACAGGCAATGATGGACAGAGAGCGCAAAGATGAGCTTCCTCAAATGCAAGTTGGCTTTATTGATGTAATCTGTCTACCTCTGTACAAGGTACAAAATATTTAATTTTCATGAGTTGTAGCTATTTTTTAAACAGGGGTTTTGAAATTATATTGGTAGTTAAACCACTTTACTCATTTTTACATATTGTAATTCAAATGTGTAAAGTTGAATGCGAGTAAACTAAAATTTCCTACTGTTTCAGATTAATTTGGTTGATAACTTCAGTTTTATCATAGTTATTACTAGATAAAATAACACCTTCAACATTTATATTCCATATTTTGCAGGTTTTGGCAGACACTTTTCCTTGGATTCAGCCACTGTATGATGGTTGCTATACAAACAAACTTCACTGGCAGGATCTTGCAGAAAAAGTTGAAATGGGCCTGACATGGATAGATCATGATACCATTGAAAAACCTATTGAGGAATTTGATGGTGTGTGAAGTTGACTTTTTTATAATTTTCAGACCTGTTTATATACTGCAGATCTTAGGCATATAGTTGGTTTTTTGACAAGATCCCTATAATCTTTTGAATGGATATTTTGATCTGCTGACCTTGGTTAGGAGTTGATCAGTGTTATTTTTTAATGTTTTAGTCAATGAAATAAGCATTAGCCTGTGGATTAAATTATTATGATAGCCTACTATGTTGAAAAAATGTTGTTTAAAACCATAAACCTGTAAAGGCCGTCAGTACTTATTTTTAAAAGAAATAATATCCTTTATATAATCAATGTGCTGTTATCTTCATAATGAGCGAAATAATAGGATTTTTTTGGAAGTGACAAGAACAATCTTTTGGAAAGCTGGGAGAGTTTTTGAAGGGTGGGATGAATCTCTGTCGAGGCTGTCTCATCATGCATTGGATAAATATTGTAGCACTGTAATAGCACCTACTTAGTAGGGCAGTTTCATACTGTAGAAATTGAAAGTTGAATATTGTTGACCTAATAAATAAAACAATCATAAGCTTATTGTAAACTACTTTGGACTAGACAATGGCATATAAAACAAACCATCTTGTTAAGTACAGTACTAGAAGCTGACATGTATTTTTGAGGTAGAGAATACTTGAATATTTAAATTTAAAATGCAAACTTGTGCCAATTTAAACTTTAAAATTTAAATTTTGGTTAACACACAAATGTGATAGGAATTTAAATTTGATTTTTTTCTCTAGCGTATCAAGATACACGAGACATAGAGTTAACAGTTACAACACTCAATTGCACCCACACGGACAAGAAGGTAGGTTCCAAATTTTATCTTTTGGTATGTGCATGATTTAAATTCAATGCTGTCCTATTTCTCTCTCATCCACAGGCCTTCAAAGTTCAAACCACCTTGAACACTGACAGTAATTTTAATATGGTTTGAAAATTTTCTTTTTGTACTCTTACAATATTGATTAATATTCTGTAAATATTTTAATTGTTTTTCTTGATTTCATGATAAAGGTTTGGTGAAAAGCTGTAACTATGCTGAAAGCGTTGGCTAGCTATGGATAGGTACTGTAGTTGTAAGTCAAAGATAAAACACTAAAATCAATAAACAAACAAATACACAATATGTACATCATATCAGCTTGATCAGATCTGATTTGTCTTTTCTGATTGCTTGTCAGATCTGTATCAGATTTGAAACAGCATAGAAACCCTGTAGCACTACTTCCATTAGAAAATGACTGTCACCTTCCGACGTCCCCAAAAACTTGTTAAAACGGACCGTTTAAATGCGTATTTGACTTAAATTTAGGAGAGCATTGTATTTAGACAAGTGATCACTGCTGGTCTCAAATCTTTCCCACGATAACGGTCGTTTCAGTACCGCCCACTTCCTGCCGATCTAGTCCGGTTAAACCGATGTGCTGATAAAAATTATCCGGTTAAAGAGATGTTATTTCCGACGAGCGTGGTCCGGTTAAACCGATATCCGAAAAAGAACAAGGATTTCAGATATATATTGGGTTTCAACTTAAACTTATTATTAGTAGAAAATAATAATGCTCAATGGTTGGTTATTGGATAACTTAGGTTATGTTTTCACCAGAATCCGACCAGCTAGTCGCTTACCGGGTCTTGAATACTTTGTATACCAAGGTAGTTGGTGATTGGAGCAAGTGGTCGGTAATTGGTGATTTCGTAAAAAAATGAAAATTGAATAGTAAATTAAAGTATAGTATTACATAAAAAAATGCCATAGAGTCGTATATAGACGATTATTTCATATAACATGGTGTAGACTTTATCTATGCAAGATTCATTTATTGCATGTTTTAAAGTTAAAAACGTTAAACTGGTCGGTTATTGATACATTCACCCTCTACATCATTATTTAAGGTTAATTCTATGGTTAGAATAATCAATAATGATTCCTGTGCAGGCCAGTATAGCGTCATCAGACGTAGACCCTCAAGCTCTGTCTGCTGGCCGCAAGTACAACAGATTTACTAGTTTCCGAAGGTCGAAGGTAGGCAAGTCAGTGCGCAGCCGTCTGAGCCGCTCCATGTACAACACCAGTCAGTCTAGGTCCGAGGATGACAAGACACCCGAGCCACCCGACAGGACAGAACCTGCGAAAGAACAGAAACCACCCAAACCTCCTCCCACCACCCAGCCCACCCACAAGACAAAGAACAAACTTTGTGCACTTGTCTGAACTTGTAGAGAAAACATTTAGTTATTATATCTGTGATTTTAGAGTATTTATTTTGTAAATATTTAATAAGGCTGAAAATTATTTTGTAAGACAAAATGGATTTTTAAGCAATCAAAGTGCATGTGATCTCACCAAGTTGTATAAAGTGTAGTTGTTTGTAATGTTTTGTAGAGTTATAAATCTTAAATCAATTTTCTATTGTTCCTACTCTTTGGTAGATCGTAGACCTATTATGTGTTGTAAGTATTTCGTAGAACTTTACTACTTAAGAGCAATTTGTACTCTACCTGTAAGATGTTGTTGGACGTATTATACAACAAAAAATTGTCAGTCTCCTACATAAAAAAAAACAAAAAAAAAACAGACATAGTATAAATTATCATTGGTTAAAATTTGTAAAAACATATTGATTTGTTGTTTGGGTTGGTTTTAGGAAAATGTATTGTTTAACAAATAAAAAACGTGCTTGAGAGCTAAGGAAGAGTTCAAACTTGTTAAATCAGTATATATAGATGGTTTTGTTTTGATTAATTTGTTCATGTTCAAGCTTTTTTTCTTGAACTGTAAAATAATGTGGGGATTAGTTATAAAAAAATATGGAATACAATATCAATTTCCTACTAGCATCTACTAGGTACTAATTACATTTTTACAAATCTTAATAACTTATCACTAGAGGAAATAAAAAAATTTTAAAAGTCCATTTTGACCTTGTATATTAGAAAATACATTTTACTATATAATCACATTCAGATTTCTTAAAATGCTAATGGTAGTAATGATTTTTCTAATTCTTTTTCATTCTACAATGAAGTGGAAATCATAGACCACAACCTTAAATAGTCCCCTTTTTTTACTTTTGATTCCTAGAGAAAACATAACAATTCCATAGCTTCACAGCTTGTCTCATCAGAAGCAATAACTAAAGGGCTTCCATCAATAACAAGTTGGAATTGAATGGAAAGGTTGTAGGAAATTGCATTATAAGATATTGTTAGAATCCAGTGATTTTAATGTGTTTTAAATTAAACAGGGCAGTTTTAATTCTTTTCAATGTTTACATACACGAACTATGTAACCCAGAAAGAAATAAGGTACAAAGGAAACTTGCTCTGGGACGACCGTGATCTTTCACCGCTAGTATGTTGTGCCGGAAATTACTCTTGACGAGCAAAGAAAATCGTGAATGGCTAGCACTGTGCAGATATTACAATCGCACAGGGCAGGTCTTCCTCTATCGTGAGCGTTGTAGTACATGAAGACGAGGGGACAGTGTTGGACTTTGCCCTAGACACCATCAACTAGTACTAGACACAACTTAAGTGTACCATTGAATGTTTCCTCTGTACCTTAAGCAGAAATTAGCTAATGGTTTTTAGCTCTGTAACCAGTATGGAATCATTCTAAAATAGATTCAACTAATCAAAAGGAAGGCACTCAACTTGCATTTAATTTTTACAGGATCGTGTGTTCCTATAATTGCCACACTTTTCATTGGTATCACTTACCTAGATAAAGTAGAACTTTACAACCCATTAATGAGGATGCCAAATTTAATCATTTCATAAAATAAAGCAAAAAGTATAGCATGTCTAAGAGACAAGGAAAAAATAACCCTTACCCTTAATAAAGATTGAAGGATTAACATACACTACATTTTCTCACAATTATTATTCTTTTTCTTTATTGGTACCGGTGTCACAGATTTTTTACTAAGAAAATGCATGATTAGTTCAGAAAATAAATGTATTTTCTTTCTAACAGATTCCCATTTAAATCTTATTTGTATCTCAATTCAAAACTGAAATAATTATTCAACAAATTAACTCTGTCAATCCTTCATATGACTATATTTATTCGCAAATTTAAAATTGATTACAGATAAAGAATTGGTTAGACAGAAAACATACTTTCACTGTTATAAGTCTCAAACAGTGAGACTTATAACCAATTGATACCATTGAGTTTAATTAGCTACTATATTGTTACGCTCTATTTTTTTTACATAAGTAATACACTACCTACAAGTTACCAATGTGGTGCCTGCATAAAATATGTAAAAAAAACTTTGTTACTAAAATATGGTCTATTTACATGTAAACATAACTTTTTCTGTATACTTAGTTTAGGATTTAGGCTATTTGGACACATGCCGATTTTGGAGGGTTGGCAACAAATCGAGATACTTGCAGACATACAGAATTTTCATTGGTCAAATAATCAATTCCGGTTCCTTTGTTGTTGTGACAACCAGCTGGAATGGATGTTTGAACTAAAACAGGTGAGGATGGTCATTAACAATAAACAATAATAATAATTTATGTGTGTGCAAGAGTGAATTTAGTGACATGTGCTACTGTGTCATTGGCAGTGGCTGGCTGCTTGTCTACATTTAACAGCGCCAATCAGTGGTTGTACCATTCAACCATTCAATTCTGTAATTCACTACCGGTAGTGGATTTTTGAAAATTAACCGTCCAAAATTGGTGTGTGTGTGCAATTAGCCTTAGGGAAGAACTACTGTTTTTGATAGGTATTTATTTCATCATGTCATATGTAATAAGACCTAGAGTACTTTGATAGATACCATGTTCAGCTGAAAAAAATTAGCACTCTTGAAAAATTTGGTTGCTCTCATCAATTGTTTGAATGATCCAGGGAAGTTTTAATGATTTATGATTACAGTGCCTGTATTAAGGGAAACTTGCTGAACTATCGGTAGCTCTAAGAACACAAATCGGGTTTGCATACAAAAACTTAGAACCACCATTTCCAAATTTAACTTGGTCTATTATTGTAATAATATTATCTTATATTAAAAGAATTTGGTTTTTCTTTCCGAGTTCGTTCGGCTCTTCTACCCGACTGATTTTCTTGATTTAGGTCTCAAATTGCCAGTCATCAAATTGAAGGTATGCACGCACATTTCACATCAAGCATCAGCATGTATTTATCTACAGTCCCACTCGAATTATACGTAAACGAAATTTGCTCCCAATGTTTTTCTTGTGAGAGTTAAATTTGGTTTTTCTTTTCCGAGTTTGTTTGGCTCTTCTATTTGACCGATTTTCATGATTGAGGTTTTAAATTGAAGGTATGCACACACAGATTTCACATCAAGAATCGGCATTTATTTATCTACAGACCCACTCAGCTTATATGTAAACAAAACCTGCTCCCAATGTATTTCTTAAGGGAATTAAATTTGGTTTTGCTTTTCCGAGTTCGTTTAGCTCTTCTACCCGACCGATTTTATGATTGAAGTCTCATATCTCAAATTGAAGGTATGCACGCACAGACTCAAGCAAAGAGGCATCAGCATATATTTATCTACAGTATACTCGAGCAAAAAACTTAAATTTGATCTTTTCTTGAATTCATACTTCAATTTAAGATGTATTTCACCAGTTATAATATATAATCCTATATATTTTAGTCTAAGAACCTTCAATGAAAAACCAGCTTTCATTTAAGCTATCAGTTACCAAATTGGACAAGTTTCACTCAAACGCAAGGTGAACAAGAAACATAAAAATTATTTTTCATAAGGTTTTTCTATGATTAAAAATCAATAGCTCCAGTATTGTTTATGTTTTTTTATATGTTTTAAACTCAAAATCCTATAGTCTAAAACAAAAGCGTGTGTACGGACAAATTTTTATTTTTGTCCGAGGATTTTTTGATATTTTTGTTTATTGTCGGGTATTTGGCCACGAGAAAACATTTGGACTTGGTCCACAAGGCTAGGAAAAATCCAGTTTCCACCCTACAGCCCTTGAAAGTGCCCATGTTATCGTCAATACCTTTTTGTAGCTGCAGTTAATAAAAACAGCTGATACAGGTAATTTTATTGCAATCTATGAATTTATAAAGGTGTGTGTTCTTTGTGTCATCTAATCTAATAGCTAATCTAACAAATTTAATGTTTAATCAAATCCGAGCAAAGGTTGGTGTCCTGGTACTAATCAGTAAATTATAGGCTTTAATTTGAGCCTCGGTATTGTTCATTTGAATCAGTTGAGTTCGAGATATTGTATTACTCAATCAAAGATCATAAATTTGATTATTTCTTGGATATCATATTTATTTTAATGCTGCGGAGCAGCATGGGTCCTATATACCTAATATTAGAGCAAGGAACTAAGATTTGGCTCGTTGAGTTAATCAATTATGATCAAACTAACACCCTTTTACTAATTCCTCCACTGTTTGTTATTTTTTAGGATTTATAGACACAAAGTTACTCAATTTAACAACTTTGATAAGTTGTAGGTATAAAAACTGAAGAGTTCTCTATACAGCATTTTTTAATTTATGGGAGGGGGGAAGGGAATAAATCTGACATGTTAAGGAAATATTTTTGTGAAAACCCAATCAAGCAAATGGAAATTCGCTTAGTCTAAAAATTGGCTGTGGTGATAGCTGCAGACATAATGGGTATAATAAAATAAGAATGTGATATGAGTCACACTTAATGGTATTTATTTACAGACACTGTGCTCATGATTTGATTACTTATCCTGGTATTCCTTGATTCATAGATCTAGTCATATGGTATGCCACAATAATTATTAAGATTGTTGAAAATATGGAAACTTACAGCTGTTTGTTAACATTGTAGTGTACATCACATTTCCACTTACAAGCTCAGGGTGCTTATTTTCTGTAATAACTTTGTCTTGACCTGTAAAATCTTCAAAGTAAATTGTTAGTTAATGGCTTAGCAGTTGATGTTTGTTAACATTAGTTGTGTATGATGGAACGGAAATGCCTGCAGATGGAATAGAGTAAATGTGGCACAGTAGGCACACCTAAGGAAAATTGCTGTCTCTAAAGGAATGAGATGACAACTAGGTACCGGTATAAGAAGACATTACTTACAAAAAATTAAAATTATATATTATATGTATAAACTTTACTTTGTAAAATAGGTTTCAATGAGATGTACACAGGCCTACACAATGTTAAAGTAAGGACAATATGAAAAATAAGTTCATATTTATATGCCATTACTGGTATCTCCAGATTTAACATGTGTTTGTTCAGATTATGATTATATATTTTTACTCAGCATTTATTCCAAAGAGAGGAAAAATAACAAAATATATTTTTTGTTAGTGCAATTTAGTAAATGTTGGTTTACAACGAACTTGTAAATATAGTTAGGCTCAGTTAAATGTCATTAGAATTAGACGGTTACAAATACTTCTTTTCTAATCTTACCTCTATATTAAGTAGACTTTTCTCAATCTCTGTATGGGATATTGGAATGGAGGAATATTTTGATTACTTGGGTCATTGTTACCTGTATTTTACAATCAGATTTTATGTGTAAAGAATTTGTCATTTTATAAGAGATTTAGTAGATAAAGAGGTTGGAAATTTGTTTTAAGTCAGAGTTCTCTTTTTATAAATGACATAAGAAGTGGTTTTTCAATGTTTTACTTATTTTATACCCTATCATCTTTTATGAAGAAATAGTGAATATTTTTAGGATATATTCACAGAAACACAACCTTCTCTAAACATTTTACCCTCCAAAAGGATAACTTGAGATACTGTGTAAACAATTTAAATACCTTAACAATGAGGTATGTCATAAACATTTGATTTAGTGAGGTGTTTGATTTGTTTTGATTTTACATGCTAGTTTGAATGGCAAACAATATATATTTTAAATTATTTGAAAGGGCATGAATGAAATAGCTTTAGACTTCTGAGTAAAGGTCACTTGGCTTGAGACACATATGGCCAGGTCAGTCTGTGGTGTGTATATAAATTTAGTATGTTGTGGCCCTTTAAATAATTGTAAACGAAATGGTATAACTCAATTCCTGTAAAAATTGTGGTTCAATAGTCATTGTAAATTATTTTATTTTCCTATAAAAACCATAAAATAAGGAAAATTGTTTAAAAAAATTCAGTTTTGATTGAAATTAGTATGTGATAATCCGTATAATTCTTAACAACATAGTACAACCTCCCTATTCCTGTAAAAATGAAGAATCAACAATTATTGTAACTTTTGTTATTTCCCCATAAAAACCCATTAAAAACGGAAAAATTGATTTTTTTTATCTGATTGAAATTTGTCTGTAATGGTACTTATAACTCAAAACAAAATACTGCAACCCCTCATTCGTGTAAACATTACGGTTCAAAAGTTAATACAGTATTTTGTGATTTTACCTATTAAATATCGTAGTTACTCTCATCACTTACCCATGATAAATGTTGTTGACTGATACCGTTTATTTTCAGTTTCTTTAAAGCTATTCATTAGCTGTGTGATCACAATATACACACGCGGTAGACCTCTCTTTGGAAATTTGATGGTATATCTGCTAAAGGGTACAGAAATAGTGATACAGAACCATCTGGTGGAGTATCTTGGAGTAATATTAGACAGTTTTACTTCACTGAGGAAGGCACCTTCAAAGAGTCATTGACGAAGGTAAGTTGTCCCTCATGACATGATGGCACCTGTTGGGTGTAACAGGGGGCTGCAGCACAGACTCTTAGACTCGTTGTATGCATATGTAGTCCTGCCTGTCATCACATACAGCCAACTCGCAGTGTTACATTGGGCCTTTGTTGGATTTAAGTATAAAACATTCTAAAACACATTTTAACAAATTGATTTATTTATAAAAACATAAATACTATGGCAGCAGAATATGAGACGATTTTGGAGAAAATTAGATCTATTAAATGTAGTCAGATGATGTTGTTATAGTTGTGATACTATTAGATACATTGGGAAAAAACTACTTAACACATCAAATTATAATAATGCAAAAACTTTTTTAAGGGGAAAGACTAATAATTAATCATATACAAATCAATTATAATAACATTACTAATCTAATGGTCATACAATAATCTATATTCAAATACCAGTAGTATCTTCTCAAACCCCCAGAAAAACAATTCAACTACTTGATGCCTAAACAGAATTATATTATATACTGTAGTACCTATCAAAAATATTTCAAATATTGCGATCATTGCAACTGTCAGCTACTCTTGAAAACCATACTTTTGAAGAACACTTGAAAACTGTCCGTATTAACAATCACAGATAGCTCAGCAGCAGGGTAATTAAGAGACTCATAAGGCAAAGGTATCAGGTTCGAGACCGCTCCGGTCAAAAAATGTTGTTCTAGTTTTTTAATGAGCTATTTAATCAATTTACTCAACTAATAATTATGCTTTTCATACTAAATCTTTATTATTTTGTGTTTTATGTTTATTCCCATGGGATGGTTGGTCCTTCGTTAAAAATTGGTTGGTCAACCTAAGACTTATTGCCAAAACATGCCGATGGCCAACCATAGACAGAAACGTTGGGCCAAATATTTTCGCTACTTGCGTGTGTTCCCTCAGAAAAAACATTCAAACTGAATACTAATATTCACAACCAATTTTAATTTGATAGTGACCATAAACATTTGGAAGATGGTAGTGGAAATGGTAAATTACAAAGGCAATTTGAGCACAAGCTTTTCTTCAAGACTATGTGTACAATTAAGTTGAAACTGGATCAACATACAGCAAGGCAATTAGCAGTCCTATACTGTACTAGTGTAGTAAGTTATACCCAAGAGTGTTATTTATTGTAATCCATCATTTTTATCCATACCTACAAAATTAATTTGTTAGGAGTGTTAATATTTTGTGAGTATAACTCTTCATGAAGTTTTTAACCAATGTGTATGTTTTTGGTGTCATTTTAGAGATCAATCTGAAATGTTGTGTCCCTTCCTAGCTCAATGTGTGTTTAGGGCTTTGCTTTGGCATTCATACAAGTTGCCATGTTAAATAATAAACATACTGAAACACAAAAAATATGTCAAAAACACAAAATGAAAAGAATAATTCTGCCATAAAACACTGCATCTTATCCTTTTGATATTTTTTAGTTTGCAAGTATTTTTGTTTATAAATTATAATAACATTTTTTATTAACAATTAAATGTCTGTATACCCACTTTTTCATGCCTCTGTAAATCATATAAGCTATGTGTACGTTATGAATATTTATTATGTAGCCATTACTGTATTATGAAATCCATACATGGCCAGTCCCATACATGAGAATGTCCTCCAAAACTTTATGAAGTGAACAAGGTGAGATACTCATGCCTTCTCCTTCCCATCCTAGTAGCATTGGCAGGGAGGAAAATATTGACTATGCATATTTCATGAGATAATAAAAGTTGGATGAAACCACCAATGTTACAACTTTCCACATTCCCAGTTTATGGTTGTATTGCGTATGCATTGAACCTATCATATGTGAAGGCTTTACTGCATAATCAGATCTCGACTTTTATTTTAAAATCCTGTGTGTGTTCAATCATTGGAAACCCACTTTCAATTGAGACACACTTTATTGTATTAGAAGAAATTATTTTTTATGTGTTTGATTTATTTACATATGAAAATTTGTGGCTTCAGCCTTTTAAAATTACCAAATTCTTAAACTAATTAATTGGGCTACTAAACTACAATTTTACAAAAATTCCCTAACTAATACCTTTGACTTTTGATAGAACTAGACATTCCATGCTAATGTTAAAGTTGTTCCCGGTTTTAACATTAAAATTGATCGACAGATTTTACTGATGTAGAGTACAGATTTCTGTATAATACACAGACTGTTTAGCCCAGCCAAACTGCTAGGACGACTTATTGTAAGCATAGCATCTTTTGTGTCACATCAACAACTCAGAAAAACAATAAGGTAGGAAATACAATTTTACAACACTAGAGCTGCCTGTGACCTGCTCATAGAACTATGTTCTTTTTACTTTCTCCACCTACACATAGTATGGAGAGTGTATTGTTTTCGTCAACATTTTCGAGTTTGAGTTTTGGGGTGATATAACCGTTTTAGGTTCCCCTGAACCCAAAAGAGTAATAGAATATCCATGTGTTTTTTTATATTTTTATTATTAATCGTATTTTCCATGAAAAAAACATATAATAACGGGAAATCGGATTTTGTTTAAATGGCTAGGCAGATTTTAATTAAAATTAAGTATATTGTGGTCATTATGATACTTAACAAAATGGTACCACCCCCATTGCTGTAAGAGTTACTGTTTAAAAGTTATTGCAACTTCTGTGATTCCCCCCATAAAATATTGTTACAAGTCAGGAGCCCCGCACAACAATAGCCAGGCGCCGTCTCAAAAGGGTTGTTTGTCAAAACGGGATTTCTCCGAACGCACCAGTGATAGACAATAGACCTATGTCAACGGACTACGTGAATAGGCCCTCCAGAACCTTCTACAGTTCTACGCCGGTTTGTAAACAACGGATACTCGAACTCTCCACTCTAGAATGTTCCACGGCAAACTTATATAAGGGACCGTCTTCCGGCACACGGAGTTGAGTTGAGCCTTCCGAGAATCGTCGCAGCAAGCGCGTGTCGGTGTTAGTGACCAGTGCTAGTGCTTGTGGCAGTGACAGTGCAGTGACGGTGTAGAGACAGTGTAGTGACACTAGTGACAGTGTAGTGACAGTGTTGTAACAGAAGTGGTAAATCCTGTAGAGGCTAGCTGTAAGTAGAAACATTGTAAATTAGAATAGGCTTTAGCTAGGTTTAGATAGGGTTAGTTAGGTGTTAGGTAATTCTAATATCTGTAAATATAGAATAATTAGTGTAAATAAATAGTTACTATAAAATCGCCAAGTTTTTATTGTAGAGAACCCGTTAAGCCCGCAACAATTGGTGTCAGAAGTGGGATTATTTTGGCGATTTTATTTGTAAAAAAAGAATTAAGGATTTTGTTAGATATTAGTAAGATTCAAGATCTTTGTTACATATTAGTAATTTGTGTCGTAAATTTGTTTACAAAGAATAAAATCATTTATTGTAAAATTATTGTAATTGTTTTGCATAAAAATGGCTTTCAAAGGTGTTAAACTTGATGAGTTAAAAGTAGCTGATCTTAGGAGGGAATTAGAAGAACGAGATCTAGATACGAGTGGAACTAAATCAGCCCTTCAGGCACGCCTTAAACAAGCTTTAATTGATGCGGGTGAAGACCCAGAAAACGTTTTATTCGAAACATCTGATATGAATAAAATGCTTAAGAACTTAGAGTCAAAAATGTCAGAAAATAGTAAAACATTAGAGTCAAAAATGTCAGAAACTAGTAAAACTTTAGAAACCCTAGAAGCTAATATTGAGGCAAAAATGTCAGAAAGTAGCAAAACATTAGAGTCAAAAATGTTAGAAAATAGCAAAACATTAGAGTCAAAAATGTCAGAAAATAGCAAAACATTAGAGTCAAAAATGTTAGAAAATAGCAAAACATTAGAGTCAAAAATGTCAGAAACTAGTAAAGCGTTAGAAAACCTTGAAGCTAATATTGAAACAAAAATGTCAAATGTAGAATCAAAAATGCTAAACA